TTTGGTCGGGGATGGGTTTGAACCCACCACCTCTGGCATATGGGGCCAGTGCCCTACTCCTTTAAACCACAGGCACCGCCCAGACATCTCTATTTTTTATGGTTGATTCTACATTGTTTATTTTGTTTCTTCAGGTTGTGTCACCCTATTATTTTTTACATGTTGTAATCGTTCATTGATTTTTGAGGATTACAAAAGGTACCTTTCTTTTGTTTTTTTTTTTTGAGACGGAGTCTCACTATGTCACCCTCAGTGGAGTGCTGTAGTGTCACAGCTCACAGCAACCTCAGAGACTCTTGGATTTAAGGGATTCTCTTGACTCAGTCCCAGGTAGCTGGGACTACAGGCGCCCACCACAGTGCCCGACTTTTTTTTGTTGCAGTTGTCATTGTTGTTTAGCTGGCCCCGGCTGGGTTCTTACCCACCAGCCTCAGTGTCTGTGGCTGGTGCCGTAACCACATAAGGCAGCTTTCACAAAATCCATGATGTGGCTTTATCTTACAGGACTCTGACAGAAATTATACTAAAGATTTGAGGCATTTCAGTATATATTCTGAAAGTGTTTTGCCTCTGGAATTGTGTGGATATTTTCTAGTTGAAGCATTTTCACCATATTACCTCCTAAGAGCTTGTAATGACTTGCTGGACCTGAATCTGTCTGTTGTCTTGGATTCTCTCTGGTGCTGTAACAATATTTTACTTTTTTTTTTTTTTTTTTGAGACAGAGCTTCAAGCTGTTGCCCTGGGTACAGTGCCATGGCGTTACAGCTCACACTCATAGGAACCTCCTACTCGTGGGCTCAAGCGATTCTCTTGCTTCCACCTCCCAAGTAGCTGGAATGACAGGCTCCTGCAACAATGCCTGTTTTTTGGTTGCAGGCGCCACAATGTCTATTTTTTGGTTGCAGCCATCATTGTTGTTTGGTGGGCCTGTGACAGATTCGAACCCACCAGCTCAGGTTTTTGTGGCTGGTGCTTTAGCTACTTGAGCCACAGGTGCAGAGCCACAATATTTTACCTTTGAGTTCAGTTCCCCAGTCAGTTTTATAAACTATAGCATCATTCCCTTCAGCACTCTCCCTCGTGCAGGACAACCTATCTTTAGAAAGGCCCTGAAAGGCTTAGCACCTGTGGCTCAAGTGGCTAAGGTGCCAGCCACATACACTTGAACTGGTGGGTTCGAATCCAGTCCACA